TCAGTTTAGGTGCTTAAATCATGGTGATAAGACAGAAGCACGAGAAAAGGAAGCATGCAGCTTTTTGATGCTGAGGTCAAATTTGTGACTTCTATTAGAGGCTGTTAGATGCTTTCCTCCCAACAGCTGATATATTTCATCCTACTGTACCAACAAGAGGCTGCCTTCTCTGTTGGAATCCTGGGCTAGGTTACTGCAGCCCCATCCAGGGGAAGGCTGTGTGTTTGTGTTCTGGGTGTGGACCCCTGGCTGTGTGAGACCTGGTGGTCCCGACACATGTTCCGTTCAGTGTCTGGCAGTTCATCACCGCTCGGCAGAGCAGGCCTCGTGGCTTTTTTTTTTTAAACAATTAATCTGTCTAGGAGAGAAGTATGTGAGTATGTATGAATTTAAAGCTTTGCTTTTGTTCCCCCTTGTTGCCCATTTGATAACCTCCTGAGAGATATTTCGACTCTAATTTGTTTAGTACTTTCACTGAGTTTCGCCGAGTGACACATACAAGAAATTCTGGTCTCAAATATTTTGAAATCAGACTGAGTCATTTTATATCCACTTATCGCTTATTTTCCTCAGAGAACAAGTAATGGGGGAGGCGTTCCTACCATTTTCCAATTCAGTTCACTTCAGGAGTGTCTTAAAGTAAACACTGGGGGCCCTAAGAAAGCGTAGACCCCGTAAGACCTGGACACGGAGACGTGGTGTGTGTGTGGCTGTGGAACAGAAAGCAGGATTTTCCATGTAATGCTGTGGAAGGATTCTTACCTAACTGAAAATCTCAGTGCAGTCTTTCCAATATCTGTCATCCATATTCATGTTTTAAAAGTCATGGCATAATTTTTATACTTTTTCATTTTTGACATCTTCAGGAGAGGCATCCATATTAACAGCATTACTTTTTAAAAGCTACTGAAAGCCTCTTAATGGCTTGGAGCTATGGAGAAGCAAACAGTGCCCTCGATGAGCTTCACTATGCTGTTACCCCTCCTCTCACTTGCAGAAGCAAACAGTGCCCTCGATGAGCTTCACTGTGCTGTTACCTCTCCTCTCACTTGCAGAAGCAAACAGAGCCCTCGATGAGCTTCACTGTGCTGTTACCCCTCCTCTCACTTGCAGAAGCAAACAGAGCCCTCGATGAGCTTCACTGTGCTGTTACCCCTCCTCTCACTTGCAGAAGCAAACAGAGCCCTCAATGAGCTTCACTGTGCTGTTACCCCTCCTCTCACTTGCAGAAGCAAACAGAGCCCTCGATGAGCTTCACTGTGCTGTTACCCCTCCTCTCACTTCAAACAGAGCCCTCGATGAGCTTCACTATGCTGTTACCCCTCCTCTCACTTGGAGAAGCAAACAGAGCCCTCGATGAGCTTCACTGTGCTGTTACCCCTCCTTTCACTTCAAACAGAGCCCTCGATGAGCTTCACTGTGCTGTTACCCCTCCTCTCACTTGGAGAAGCAAACAGAGCCCTCGATGAGCTTCACTGTGCTGTTACCCCTCTTCTCACTTGGAGAAGCAAACAGAGCCCTCGATGAGCTTCACTGTGCTGTTACCCCTCCTCTCACTTGGAGAAGCAAACAGAGCCCTCGATGAGCTTCACTGTGCTGTTACCCCTCCTCTCACTTGGAGAAGGAAACAGAGCCCTCGATGAGCTTCACTGTGCTGTTACCCCTCCTCTCACTTGGAGAAGCAAACAGAGCCCTCGATGAGCTTCACTGTGCTGTTACCCCTCCTTTCACTTGGAGAAGCAAACAGAGCCCTCGATGAGCTTCACTGTGCTGTTACCCCTCCTCTCACTTGCAGAAGCAAACAGAGCCCTCGATGAGCTTCACTGTGCTGTTACCCCTCCTCTCACTTCAAACAGAGCCCTCGATGAGCTTCACTGTGCTGTTACCCCTCCTTTCACTTGGAGAAGCAAACAGAGCCCTCGATGAGCTTCACTGTGCTGTTACCCCTCCTCTCACTTGCAGAAGCAAACAGAGCCCTCGATGAGCTTCACTATGCTGTTACCTCTCCTCTCACTTGCAGAAGCAAACAGAGCCCTCGATGAGCTTCACTATGCTGTTACCTCTCCTCTCACTTGCAGAAGCAAACAGTGCCCTCGATGAGCTTCACTGTGCTGTTACCCCTCCTCTCACTTGCAGAAGCAAACAGAGCCCTCGATGAGCTTCACTATGCTGTTACCTCTCCTCTCACTTCAAACTGAGCCCTCGATGAGCTTCACTGTGCTGTTACCCCTCCTCTCACTTGCAGAAGCAAACAGAGCCCTCGATGAGCTTCACTGTGCTGTTACCCCTCCTTTCACTTGCAGAAGCAAACAGTGCCCTCGATGAGCTTCACTGTGCTGTTACCCCTCCTCTCACTTGGAGAAGCAAACAGAGCCCTCGATGAGCTTCACTGTGCTGTTACCCCTCCTCTCACTTCAAACTGAGCCCTCGATGAGCTTCACTATGCTGTTACCCCTCCTCTCACTTGCAGAAGCAAACAGAGCCCTCGATGAGCTTCACTGTGCTGTTACCCCTCCTCTCACTTGCAGAAGCAAACAGAGCCCTCGATGAGCTTCACTGTGCTGTTACCCCTCCTCTCACTTGGAGAAGCAAACAGAGCCCTCGATGAGCTTCACTGTGCTGTTACCCCTCCTCTCACTTCAAACTGAGCCCTCGATGAGCTTCACTATGCTGTTACCCCTCCTCTCACTTGGAGAAGCAAACAGAGCCCTCGATGAGCTTCACTGTGCTGTTACCCCTCCTCTCACTTGCAGAAGCAAACAGAGCCCTCGATGAGCTTCACTATGCTGTTACCTCTCCTCTCACTTGCAGAAGCAAACAGAGCCCTCGATGAGCTTCACTGTGCTGTTACCCCTCCTCTCACTTCAAACTGAGCCCTCGATGAGCTTCACTATGCTGTTACCCCTCCTCTCACTTGCAGAAGCAAACAGAGCCCTCGATGAGCTTCACTATGCTGTTACCCCTCCTCTCACTTGGAGAAGCAAACAGTGCCCTCGATGAGCTTCACTGTGCTGTTACCCCTCCTCTCACTTCAAACTGAGCCCTCGATGAGCTTCACTATGCTGTTACCCCTCCTCTCACTTGGAGAAGGAATCAGTGTGGGTGAGAAAGTAAGTGGGACAATGTCCCTGTCCATGGTACCGAACCCTCCTCACTCAGGCTATAAGCTTCTGTGATTATTGCCTGCATACTCACTCAGCAATTCCTTTGAGTTTTGCTGTTTCCTGTCTCTTCCAGTCTGATTCTGTTGCCATGGATACATCTCAGACCCTGACTGTCTCCCTGAAATGCTTGTCCCAGTGGTTGAAGGGGGGAGAAGAGATGGGAATGGACCGTCTAAGGCAGCGTCAGCTCTCAGTGGGAATTTTTCTGAGCACTGCACTATTTCCTAAATTAATTAGAATCTGTAGGTCTTAAGTTACAGGCTAGATGATGCAATTTTGGTAAAGGATATTAGTTTGAATTAGGTTTCCATAGTCTGTAGGTTGTCAGGACATCATTGTATGTTAGCAATTAGAAATCCAGAGAGGCTGCAAAGAGTAGCAAACTACCCCAGTAGCTCGGCAGTTGCAGGAAATGGGTGTCTGTCCCCACATCATGTCCAGTGAACCATTTGGTGGGCGGTCTTCACCGGCAGTGAGCCAGGACCTAGCCCCTCAGTCAGGCAGCCCCCCACGCCCTGGTGCGCCTGGCAGGCCACACTCAGAGGGGGAAATGGAAGTGATGGAAATCCTGGTCTGTGTGGAATGGGGGCTGCAGAATTATTCATAAATTCACGTCTCACAGTCAGAAGAAGTGATTTTTGATCACTGTCCCTTTCATAGGTCGTGCACAAAAAAATGGCACATCCCTCAGAGCTCTCTCAGATGCCAGGCTCAGATATTTCCAGCTTTAAAGGCTTCCTCGGAAAGCACTAGCACATGTTGCCAAGATATTTTCCTTGAGCTTCAGTGAATAATAATGAGCAATTTGAAAGGAAGATATTTATCTCTGCTCTACCATGCCTTAAATAAAAGAGCTCATATGATTTTTAGATTAGATTTTTTAAACATTTCTCTTTGTTCTTTACTGGGTAGCATAGCCAACATTTGAAAATGGTTCTTGATTATAATTGGCATTACAGATAATCTTTTAAAAAATATGGTGTGGTATCCCAGTAAGGATGATCTGGGTGCAATTAGAAGGCTTAGGGATAAAGCCACTCGGTGTCTTTGGAAAGCTTTAAACATATTCCATGTTTATTATTCCAAGATGTGTGTATAGCAGGAACATGGAGTTGATCAGTGACTATCAACCAACTGGCCAGTGTTTATTTAGTACCTGCTGTGGGCCAGACAGAAGACTAGGTACCACTAGTCCCTATGCTTTTGAGGCACAAGACAATTCAACTTAAGTACCCACCATAAATGTGTTAGTGGAAGGTGAAGTATTGATAAAGGTCTAGTCTGTCTCCCATGTTATTACTCCATAATGTACTCTAAGTTCGCCATAATTTATACACTTCCTTTGGAAAAATATTTCCCAAAGGGTTTTCTTTATAGTGAAGGCAAATATTCCAGTGCAGTCACAGGTTGACTTGAGCCCTCTTGAGGAGAGCTGTAGGCGGTCTGGGAATGGGACCCTGTGTGGAAACACAGACTCCGCAGGTGCAAACAGGAAGATGAGGTCCTCAGGGTGGGCCCCGATCTGGTGTGACTGGTGTCGTCACACGGAGAGGAGAAGAGACAGGGACACACGTGAGGTGATGAGGCAGGGACTAGGTCACCATCCTCAGGCCAAGGGACACCACGTCTTGCCAGCCGCGCCAGGAGCTGGAAGAGACGAGGAAGGATGCTCCTTCGAGCTTTCAGAGGGGCAGGGCCCTGCCGGCACGTTGGCCTCAGACTCCCCGCCTCCGGGCTGTGAGACAGGAGGGCGTCTTTTTTTCAGTCCCCGAGTTTGGGGGCTCTGTCAGGGCAGCCGTCAGAGACTAATAAATATGCTACAAATACGCTCAGAAAATGAGTGATAGGATGCGGGACAAATTCCCTTTAGTCTTATCAGCGCTCAGTATGATCAAGCCTCATTTCAGCAGAATCGCTCTGCAGATTTGGCTGGTGGCAGGAAACTGGGGCGGTGACGGGGGTCTTGTCGGCAGGAGCGGGGAGGGGGCTTCTCAGGTGGGGCTCCTCATCCCTGCTCCGGGACCCTCCACATCCCCTGGGCCCCCGGAGGGTGGAGAGCGCAGAACGGGACCCAGAGAACAGGGATGCCCGTGCTGGGGGGCGCATCATTTGGTTTGGGTCATCTGAAAGCACAGCCTATGAGACTGCTTTTCCTCTGAATTGTCTTCAGTTATTTTCTGTTAGGAAGGGAGAGTTTTTTGACTTGTAGGGAAGGCCTCTATCTGGGTACTGTCTAGTTCTAACAGAATCACTGAATTTATAACCCCCCGAACGCCTCGTGGCCTGTTTCTCGGTGGCGCAGCAGAAGCGCTGAAAGGAGGAAAATACGTGATGCTGTTAAACCACTCTGCTCCCTAGACGGCTCGGAAACAAGCAGCTGGACAGGTGGGGGCTCTGAGGGGGTTGAAGTCTGCACTTTAAAATTGTTCCTAAACTGAGGGGTTGAAGCTACTGGAACGGGGCGGTGCCTCCCCGGGGGGTGCTGGGAGCAGGTCCTCTGAGCTCCCCACTGTCCACCATCGAGCAGGACGGGGGGCCAGGTGTCAGACGCACCCGGCGCCGGGGTTTCCCTCATGGCAAGAGATGCAGAGGACGCTGCAGGCCTGGCAGGGCATCGCAGGAACTGGGGACCCCTCTCCACCACGCTGTCTCGGGGAGCCCTCTTAAAGGGCCATTTGAACTGAAGGCAAAGGGGGCTGTGGGCTCGGGGGGCGGGGGCTGCAGGTGGGGGGGCCCCTGTGAGACCCTGAGACCTGCTTTCATCCCCCCATCTTCCCAGATGCGATGTGATGAGGGTTTATAAAACATTGTATGTGTGCTCAGCCGTGTCCAACTCTGCAACCCCACGGACTGTAGTCTGCTGGGCTCCTCTGTCCATGGGATTCTCCAGGCAAGAATACTGGAGTGGGTTGCCATGCCCTTCTCCAGGGGATCTTCCCGACCCAGGGATTGGACCTGTGTCTCTTGCGTCTCCTGCACTGGCAAGCAGGTTCTTCACCACTAGCACCACCTGGGAAGCCCTTATGAGACATTCCCTCTGCACAATTCAAAGTCTACAGTGAACCGATGATGATTGTTCAGCTTCATAATTAACCTCCTGAAACAGGTACTGAAATATCAGAGATGACTTTGGAATCCCTGGAGAAAGAAAGACTGCATTATGTTCCAGGCAATTTTCTTGTTAAGTGAATTTTAATCTTTGAGAGCTATTATATATGTGATAATTATATATATGATAACTCGATTCAGAAGAACAATTAGCCGAGACTTTTCATTGCTTGATGATGTAACGGTAGCTTGCAGACTGGACTCAGATTTCCAAAACTGCTATTCTGGATTTATTTTAAAAGGTTGGGGGATGCCTGCCTTTGATCCAAGGATTAAGGAGAATTTTTGAACACGTAAGCTATCTTTCTAAATTAGTAAACATTGATTTTAGAGTAAATATTGATTCAGTATATCCTCAGAGTGTTCTGCTTTTAGGAGGTCAAAAGTTCATGCAAACGTCCCCCAGTATGAGCATCAGGCACTGTGGGTTTTGATTTGGGGCCATTAACAGATGCCCTGAGACCCCACTGGGGCTGTCTAGGTGCATATTGAAGACATCGGGAAATTCCCACGGCTGTTTCTCTCCATTTACAATAGGAGCAGGGGAGCCTCATACGCGCTCACCACGCCTCATTACACATGCTGGAGCGTGTCCAGCCATCCTGGCGACGTGTGTTCCCTCCCCCTAATCTGCTGGTCATCGCCGTGCACACAATGGGAGGTTTCCTCGCCTGAACAAGCACCCCCGCAGCTGGTGGGCACGCTGGTTTATTTCACAACCAACTTCGGGTATATTTAGACATTTGTATGGAATCCCAATGGAGAGGACTTCCCTGGGTGACCACTGACAGCACCTGGACCCCACACTATGCCCATCTGCACCCCTGCATGCACGGAGCCCGCCCCATGACCCCTGGCACTGCCCAGCATTCAGCCTCACCAAGCCACGTACAGGAGAATCTTGTTGACTTAACTTGCACATCTCTAATTAATAAAAATTTAATGGCTTCATCATAAGCTTGGTATCCACTTGGGTTTTCTCTTCTGAGAATCACTTGTTCATACCATTTGCCCATTTCTGAGTTTGAATTTTTGTCTTTTTCTTTGGATTCAGTAAAAGTCGCTTACCGTGTCCAACTCTTTGCAACCCCATGGACTATACAGTCCCTAGTCCATGGAATTCTCCAGGCCAGAATACTGGAGTGGGTAGCCTTTGCCTTCTCCAGGGCATCTTTCCAACCCAGGGATCGAATCCAGGTCTTCTGCATTGCAGGCGGATTCTTTGCCAGCTGAGCCACCAGGGGAGCCCCTGTCCTTATTTATTCCTGCTGTTTGTTCCTTGTGAGTTTTAAAAATCTGTTTCATGTTCTGATATATCCACTGTACAGTAACTCTGCCCTTTAGTGGATCAAAATAATAAAGGTGTTATTTTCAAATCCACTTTTGTTTGCAGCCTTATGGTTTGAGCCTTGGGGGACTTTTTCGTTTAATCCTCTTTCTCCATTCTGGAGTCACAGAAGTTTACTCCTCTGTTCATCTTCTACAAGCTTATAGCTTAATCTTCCACTTTTAGCTCTTTGATTTTTGGTGACTCTGTCACTCCCTGTAGTGATGCTAGGAATCTGACTTCACTTTTCCTTCTGTGTCATCCAGGTTTCCCCAAACAGCTGCTGAAAGGAGAGATTAGAGCTGATGCGGAGACAGGATTAGACATGCAACAGATTTACAGGGAGGGAGCGCAGAGACCACAGAGCAGGGGAGGGGAGAGTGGCTAAGGGCTGGGTATGTTCCCAGCGGGAAGCAGCTGGGCCCCCAGCAGGAGGTCTGAGCCCAGCGCCATCGTGGCCGCCACGTCAGTGGGAGGTGACCAGGGCCGAGGATGGGGGAGGGAACTGGGAGCCGGAAGTGGAGCCGCTGTGGTCAGGGCCAGCCTTGTGAATAAAGGTGGGGAGGATGAGGGCCTGGCAGTGGCTCAGCAAACAGGAGAGCGCGGGCCGTGCAGAAACAGCAAGAAACAGTGGGGTGGCCGCAGCTGGTGCAGAGTGAGCGTGGGGAGGACGTGGTGGGGGGCGCACGGAGGTGAGGGTCCTTCCAGACCTTGGTAAGGACAGAGCTGTGAGACTCAGCTAGTGGGAACCTCTGGGTTCTCGTGACACGCACCTCGAGCCCCCACTGGTCAGCCTGGCCACTGTGCTGGACAATTCTGCACTTGTCCGCATGAGAGCCCACGACTGCTTGGACCAGAGCAAAGGTTAGGGAGGGAAGTAGCAAGACAAGGTCGTGCTGTGGACACACGTGGCAGGCAGAGCCGAGGACGTTTTCTGAAATCCTGGGTGTGGCCGAGGAGGAGTTTGTGGTGCTGAAGCCGGAGTGAGGAGGGTTTCAGGACGGGAAGGATCCAGGTGCCGAGGCCGGGGAGACCTAGCAGGGACTGCCGGGCTCAGCACCGCGGACAGCGGCCGGGGCGTGGCTTCCAGAGGCTGGGGGAGGACTTGGACTGAGATGCAGCAGAAGGGGGACAGGAAAGTAGGCAGGCCGCGGAAGCAGCGTCCGGCTCAGCTCCAACGCTCCGGGCGGGAAGAGGGGACATGGTACCTCAGTGCACTTGCCCGGGACCCTGCGTCCCAGCCCTCCCCATGGGCCTGCACACCCTCTGCTCAGTCAGGACCTAGAGGTCCTGCTTTTTGGTGGCTGTGAAGGAGGACTTCTTTTTACCGTATTTGCAGCTGGGTTAGAGACATGTGGTTTATTTTTATAATGAGAACTCACCTCGGGCAACCTTACTTACCTGTCAGTGGTGCTTCGCTCAGTCGTGGCCAGCTCTTTGTGACCCCACGGACTGTAGCCCACCAGGCTCCTCTGTCCGTGGGGTTCTCCAGGCAAGAATAGTGGAGTGGGTTGCCATTTCCTCCTCCAGGGGATCTTCCTGGCCTGGGGATTGGACCCCAGGCTCCTGTGTCTCCTGCAGGGGCAGGCAGGTTTTTACCACTGAGGCATCAGGGGAGCCTTACTTGTGAGGAGGCCCTTGAATTAGTCTGTGGGTCCATCAATGTCTCCACACGAAAGGTCACATCCTGTGTGGGTGACCTGGTGTCCGGTCAGTGTGGCCCTCCCGTGGGCGGGTCCAGAAGTGACGGCTTCACGCCGGTTCAGGACAGTCCATGTGCATTTCTGCAGAGTTCTCTGGGTTTCAATTTCCTCCTTGCGACCACTCCCACACTTTGGGGGTGGTGAGCCCGGGTCCTCTGGGTTCCCTGACCCAGGTGGCCCTGACTGAGACGGGGGTGAGTCACACCACAGGGCTCCCCCAAACCACGGCTGGGGCGGCTCTCTCGGGAGAAGAGCCCTTGATGGAACCAGGGAGAAATGAAATTGCTAGACAGGATTTCTGTACATTTCCCCGAGCAACAGAAGGAAGCCCAGTTTTAGATTCAGGAAGGGACCCCAGGCGGTGCTTCGGGGCACACACCCCACAGGCCATACCCCTGTGACGGTGCACGCAGGACCGCGCAGCTGAGGAAGGGGGTGACACTCGGGGCCAGCCAGCGGCTCTGCGCCGACGCGTGGGACGGGCTGGGCAGCCCAGGAGGTGCCGGGCACGGCTGACCCGGAGCCCAAGAATTCACTAGACTGTAAACCGGCCGCGTTTACGGTGGCCACGCTGCAGCAGGGAGGCGCGTTTCTTTTTCTTATTGATGAGGGTGCTGTCTCCGGAGGAGAGGGGAAGGGTCGGACCGCTGCCTGCCGGGCCGCCCGGCGCACTGCTTGCTCCTGCGTGTGCTGCGTCCATTATCTTTGATGGAAGCCCGACTACACGGGCGCTTCTCGCATCACAGCCGCACGGCAGCCTCCTATCCGTGTAGATGCGCAGATCGCGGACGGTCAGAGGGAGAACGGCTCTGCTGTCCGCTCAGAGAACAGGAATGCACAGAATGCCTACGTCTTTGACAGAATTTGTAAGACTAATGAGTAATAACAAAGAAGAGGATAAACCACACAAATAGAGGATCCTTATATGTAAATATGAAATTCTTTCGGTAACGCCTGGACCTTTCATCAAGCTCTGAGGGTCATAATTTATCTCAAGATAGGAAACTTCAGCGCTAGCTGTGGCTTATTCACTAGTTTACTTTCATGTCCATGTGGTATCTTTCTGTTGTTGCTCAGTTTTGTCTGACTCTTTGCGACCCCATGGACTGCAGCACGCCAGGCCTCCCTGTCCTTCACCATCTCCCAGAGCTTGCTCAAACTCATGTCCATTAAGTTGGTGATGCTGTCCAACCATCTCATCCTCTGTCATTCCCTTCTCCTCCTGCCCTCAATCTTTCCCAGCATCAGGGTCTTTTCCAGTGAGTCAGCCTTTCACACCAGATGGCCAAAGTATTGGAGTTTCAGCTTCAGCATCAGTCCTTCCAATGAATATTCAGGACTGCTTTCCTTTAGGATGGACTGCTTGGATCTCCTTGCAGTCCAAGGGACTCTCAAGAGTCTTCTCCACCACCACAGTTCAAAACGATCAATTCTTCAGTGCTCAACTTTCTTTATAGTTCAACTCTCACATCCATACATGACCATTGGAAAAACCATAGCTTTAACTATACGGACTTTTGTTGGCAAAGTGATGTCCCCACTTTTTAATACGCTGTCTAGGTTTTAGTCATATTTAATATTTCTCATTGTAGCACTTAACTCTTGAAAACCAATTATGGAGATCAGAAGCATGATCAAAACCACCACCAGAATCCTCAGAGACTTCAGCAACCTGAGAGAATTTAAAGAGGAAAATTCTCAGAGGCCCCTGTGTGTACAACGTGGGATCCACAAGCCCAGACTGGAAATGCCAGCAGCGGTTTCGGAGGCAGTTTTCAGCAGCCTTGTGTTTAGTCATCCTCGAACATCTTAGAAGCAATTTTCAGCATTTTTTGCTCATCCCCATGGGCATTTCAGTGTTTGAATTTGAGAAGATGGCTTAGAAATGCAGCTGGAAAATGCAGGGACGTTTTCTAGATTTTATCCAAAATAAAACATCCCTCGTTTCCCAGCTTCTCACTCTGCCGTGACTGTGCAGCAGAGGGGAACAGAGCCCCTCCCCGTGGGTCCTAGACCCAGACCCCGGGGAAGTAAGTCCCAGTGTGGGGCGTGGTTTCAAGAAAATCCAGGCAATTCAAGGGCATTTGGCTCCCGGTGGGCCCGGCTGGGTCTGTAGTTCAGGGCTCGTTGCCTGACTTGTTGGGATGACCCCTGCCCTGGGATCCACGCGACTCAGACCTTGAGGGCTCCCTGCCATGTGGCGCTCAGGGCCCAGAGGCCTGCTTTCTCCTGCTCGCTTAGCACCTCCTTTCCTCTCTGTGAGTGCTGGGGCCCAGCCCCGGGTCTCTTGGGGTTCAGGAGGGCCCAGGAGCCTGTGCTGGGGCAGGACACCCGCCCCCAGGAGGCCCTTCCTTCTTAGTGGATTTGCACCTGTGCCCCCTCCCATCTCTGACCTCCAGCGTGGCCAGGTCCAGGGTGAAGGGCAGGCACACCCAGCTGGTCGGCACCTCACAGACCGACCAGGTACGCGGGGCTTAAGCGCCCATACCTGTGATATCACCCAAACAGAACCATGTCAGAAGCAGAAGCCCGTCACTTGGCCCTCGAGTCCACCTCTCAGCATGGTGGGGGCGCACTTGTGAACGGTGGGTGACCAAGCACTCACTGCCTTCTGTTACACTTGGGCCGCAGATGCGAACACATCTTATTAATACCTGCCCAGGTAACGCTCCCGGGGTTTAAAAACAGTTTGCCCCCCGTATACTTCACCAGGGGCTTCCCAGGTGGTGCTAGTGGCAAAGAACCTGCCTGCTAATGCAGGAGACATCAGAGACCCAGGTTCGATCCCTGGGTTGGGAAGATGCCCTGGAGGAGGGCATGGCAGCCCACTCCAGTATTCTCGCCTGGAGAATCCCATGGACAGAAGGGCCTGACGGGCTACAGTCCACGGGGTCACAGAGTCAGACATGACTGAGTGATCTAGCACACCCACATGCATGCCTCATCAGTGGAAGTTCATTTCTCAAATACTTCTGATTTTCCTTTTGGAGAATATTTAGTGAAACTGCACAATAATTTCTGGGTCTCCTTTTTGGACATTCTTTTTTTTTTTTTTAAGGTGCTAATTAGTTTGTGCAAAGTCTCAGAGTCAAAGAGACAGATTTAGTATGCAGTATTTAAGGAGTACTGGTTAAAAGGAATGACATAAAATCAATGTAGGCTTTAAAAATTGTTCCACTTGCTCTCATTTTGTCATTTTATAAACATGTTATGTACTGTCTGTCACCTGATCACAGAGACGATCACCTTGAAAGTAGTAACTATAAGTGCATTTTAACCTTATAGTTACACGCGAGTAAATTATTTTATTTTTATTAATAAGGTGGCTTGTCTAATTTTCTCTATTTCTTAGTAAAGCTTCCAACCACTGGTTAAACTTTGGTGTAATTTAGTCCAGGGAATATTCTGGGTCACTGGTGGGCTGGGTGCACCTGGATAGTTCTCCCAATTCTTGTGCCTCAGTTCCTCCATCTGGGGGTTGGGGGTGCCTGCTGTACCCCCTCCCCACCACCGAGGGGTGACCTGAAAATACCCACTTCCTGCCTGGCACCTGGTGTCACCAGCGGAGGTGGTGGCTTTGCTGTGGGACTTTCCCCATGTCCTCATGTCAGAATTCTACCTTATTTTGAGCCTCCAAAATCTAAGACTGAGTCTTACTTTGAAATCTTATTTTATTATGTAGTCTATTTTCCAGTATTTTTTCATGAATAAGTTAAAATAAGAGTCCCTGTAACCAACTAGGTCATTCACTTCTATTTTGTGTTTGTTGAGGTCTAGAGAGGGATTTTTAAAAATATTTTCTAAAATGCCCCTCACCCCACCCACCCTGGCTTTTTGCAATTGCACACCTTTAAGACTATTTAATTATTTCTCCTAATCCCTTTCCTCTAATCAGTTATAAACTCTTTATATAATTAATAAGTGATAGGACATAAATTTAACAAATGTGATTTCTCAAAATATTAAACATTTGCATCCAAATATACTCATTGATTTAAAAGTATGTGTGTGAGGATATGCATGTGAAACATTTTTAATATAAAATATTTTTAGAGCTTAAAATTTAAAATAATTATAAAGATAAAATCTGGTTTGTTAAGAGTCACGCAAACCTTTCTTTTTCCTTGACTTCCCCCTCTGCCGACGCCTTCTATTTCATTTTTGTTTCTCTTGGATCCTCTATGTTTTTCCTTTGGATCCATAACTATTGATTATGCTTACCAAAAGTCGAGCATATCAGATCCTTCTAAATGCTTTATATTTCTTTAAAAGCACATAATCAATGGCCTTTAAAGATACACAAGCCAGTTATTACGAAACTGATGAAAACACTTCTGAAAAACCCTAATGAGAGTGGGGACGTGGTGGTTGACGGGGTTTTCCCTGCCTTCTACAGAGCCGCTGAGTCCGTGAGAGGCTGGAGACCTCTGCCGCTCACAGTCGTTTCCGAGGTAGCTAAACTCTTGGCATTTATCCGGATCCCTTTGTAGAGTCCAAGGTTTATTCCTTCTCGATTCTTCCTGTTTTGAAAGCTAAAGTGAGGCATCACGGGTCAGTTGTTTTACGTTGTGAATGTTCTTTGCGATTAAGGCCTTGCGTTTCCAGTGCCTCTCATGAAATGAAACCTTTGCCCTAGGACAGATGATGAGGTGAAGGCCAGTGGGATTGGAAATCATCTCCAGTGAAGGAATGCCCACCACACAGATACACCCAAGTGCAATTAGGCTATTGGCTCCTTCACACCCTCCCCAACCCCTTCTTTCAAAGACCTCATCCAGACAGGGACCGGGGCGTGGAGAAGGACCGAGTCACAGAACCTGCGTCTCACCCCCGGCCTGTGACCTGGGCGCCTGAGGGCAGACGCCGCGCAGATGTGTCAGAATCACAGAGGACCTTCTGCCAGGACTCCTGCTCTGTGGGCCTAACGGCCCCAGAGTGCACTGTCATCTGGGACTCAGATAAGCCACTGACTCAAAGTATTTTCTAGAACTCCTGAGGAGCTGGCCTAATTGAAACGGTGTTTTCCGGGATGTAAATAAGTTCATCACACCAGGAACTGCCAGACTGCTTAGAAGCAAAACAAGTGCCCGATTTGCAAGAAGGAGCCGCGCCCCCGGCCCGCCATCCCTGTGGAGCGCCTGCTTCCCGCCCCCAAAACAGACAGAGGCGCTCCTCAGGCCTGAGGAGCGGGCCCCCAGACAGCTAATGCCTTTTTGCATCGAAGCTTTTCTAATTACAAAGGGGAACTCCTCTAGCATCTAAACATGTTGACATTTTAAAGTAAAGCTACTGTAACACTCTGAAATGTTTCCCCTGGAATCTAAATACTGTAGAGATTGGATAACCCACCATCATTTTGCTGAAAAAATACAAGAAAATGCTTTTTCTGAACAGGCATAAATTTTTGTGACTCTTTCTGATCCTTGAATTCAGCTTTCCATTCTGCTTGCCCCTTAGGATGTCATCCTAATGTGATAAACATGGATATTTGATAAAAAGTCATCCATTCATCACCTTATTGGAGGAAGAAATGGCAACCCTCTCCAGTATTCTTGCCTGGAGAACCCCACAGACAGAGGAGCCTGGAGGGCTACGGCCCATGGGGTTGAAAAGAGTCAGGCATGACTGAGAACATCACCTTATATATTCTTGCAGGAAAAAAAAAATCTTTTCATAAATTGAAATGGATCTTTAAATTTAATTTTCTGTAACCAAAAGACTATTATGTTTCCTTTGAATTATTACAATTATTGGTATACAGTTGATTAAAATAAAATATTTGATAATGGTTAAATATAAGAAAGTGATGGGAAAGTCAGCGTGTGAGTGGCAGGGACAGTGCCCCAGGTTCATATGTGGGGTTTAATGAGATCCCAGAGCCCACCTTCACCCTCATTCTGCCACGAGAGGACACAGCGAGAGGACAGCTAGCTGCAAACCTCCTGAATGCTCCCATTTCTGTCACTGCAGGCGGCTCGTCTCCTCCGGTGCCCGCCCCGAGTGAGACCTTCCAGTCTGCACACTGGAGGCGTCAGCCCAAGATGGGGAGTTTTAATCAACTATTCCTTTGATTCTTGCTTCTGAAATGCTTTTTATCCTCCACTGCCTCTCCTGAACTATCCATGAGAGTTTCTTTTTTTCCCCATAGTTATTTTTATGTCTTTATTCTTTTTGTCTGAATTTTAGGGAAATTTTCTTTACTTTTTAAAGTAAATTAATTTTGTTTATTTGGCTGCATTGAGTCTCAGCTGCAGTACCTGGAATCTTTGCTGCATTGTGGGAGACCATTGCGGTGCACGGGTTCTCTGATTGTGGCCTGGGAGCTCAGTAGTTGTGGCAGGTGGGCTGAGTTGAGCTTCCCAGGTTAAAAAAAAAAAAAAGTGAAGTCGCTCAGTCATGTCCAACTCTTTGGGGCCCCATGGACTAATGTAGCCCACCAGGCTCCTCCATCCATGGGACTCTCCAGGCAAGAATACTAGAGTGAGTTGCCATTTCCTTCTCCAGGGGATCTTCCTGACCCAGGGATCGAACCCAGGTCTCCCGCATTGCATGCAGATGCTTTAACCTCTGAGCCACCATTCTAGCGGTAAAGAACCTGCCTGCCAATGCAGGAGAAGTAAGAGAGGTGGCTTCCATTCCTGGGTCGGGAAGATCCCCTGGAGGAGGCCATGGCAACCCACTCCAGGATTCTTGCCTGGAGAACCCCATGGACAGAGGAGTCTGGTGGGCTACAGTCCATAGAGTCACAAAGAGTCGTACACGACTGAGCGACTTAGCAGGCACACACGCGTGTGAGATCTTAGTCCCTAGATGAGGGATCGAACCCATGTCCTCTGCGTTCGAGGTGGATTCGTCTTTGTTTTTTTTAGAGTGGATTCCGAGGGAAGACCCCCTTTCCTCTTTAAATTTGATTTTCCAAAGCAATGAATCAGTGTTTGGCTCCGCTGGGAAGTTAAATGTAGCAAGCACGTTCTTCTTCACATAGACTTCAAGCTCTCAGCTTATTTATTTCACTGACCACTCTAGCTTTGTCTTCAGTTTAGTGCTGTGTTTGTGGTTAAAAATTAGAGCTTTAGAATGAAAACTAAAGACACGCGGGTGGTGCTGCTGTTTGCTCTTCGCCCTGGTGCGTTTGACGAGATCAGGCAGCTACTGTGAGGTCCCCTGACTGGGCTTCCCTCTCTTGAAGCATCTCTGTGGTGACCATGTGGTCCTGAATGCCCACTTTTACAGCTGCCCCTGTGGCTGGCACATGAGCGTGGGTCCCCAGCTCGGACGGTCCGGGTGCCCAGGCCTGGGTGTGAGTCAGCTGCCAGATGCTGGATCCATCACTCGGTTCCTCAGTCTGTGCCCCCAGACACATGCCCAGCAGTGTTACTGCTCCAGCCTCCTCCCACACTGGATGGTTTCCATCAGGTGATGTGCAGCCAAAGTCAAGATGTGCTCAGCACCACGTGGAGGACAGGGTCAGGCAGGTGGGATGCGGAGTCACTGGGGGTTGCCGGAAGCAGTCACACTTAGAGAGGGGCTGGAGACCACCCCCACGACCCCCAGCAATGCAAATCCTCCTGCCCCACGGGGCGTGGGGGAGATAGCAAACCCATCCCAGGGCCACTCGTGTGTTCTTATCTTGTCCTGGCCCACGTGCATGCGTGTTAAGATGTTTCAGTCGTGGCCCCAAGGACTGCAGCCCGCCAGGCTCCTCTGTCCATGGGATTCTCCAGGCAAGAATGCTGGAGTGTGTTGTCATGCCCTCCTCCAGGGGATCTTCCCCACCCAGGGATCAAACCTGGGTCTCTTATAGTTCCTGCATTTGGCAGGTGGGTTCTCTGCCACTAGCGCCACCTGGGAAGCCCTGGTCCACAGTGACTAACAACAGAAGTGGAGATGCTTCGCCATGGGAGGTAGAAGTTAGCAGTGACATCAGCTTTCCTCGCTGCTGATGATCAGGGTGATGATGGTATATATTCCGGTTTCTTCACGTCATATGAAGTGCTCAACAGGGATTATTGAGGAAGAAACTTTGCATATTTTCCTGGTCACATTGGTCAAAATTCTTTTGGTCTTAGAGTTAAAAAGCAAGACAACTTTCATGTGCTCAGTTATTATCTGATATTATTATTTTGTCAGATTATTGACCTTCTCAAACAAAGGGGAAGAGAGATAGACTTCTCTTGGCAAAATATCTAACACATTCTAAAAACACATTTGAGTGACTGAAATCTCATATAGACAAGACTGAGGGAGTAAAACCATAAGTGCTTTTTTTTTTTTACTTTTTCATAAGTGCTTTTAAAAAGCAAGATGACTGGAGCAAACTATAATGGTTAAGAACAGAGGCTTTGGACCTCAGGTTCCTTCCCAGTTCCATCAGGTGTGTGATTCTGGAAAAAGTCCTGACCCTCTGCCTTTGTTAGTGTCGTCATAAGAAGCGTGGAGCTTGTGCCTCATGGAGGTGCCGTGGGGACCGAGGGAGGCAGGCGTCTAAACTGCTGTTCCTCAGGTGTTTTCTGGAACACTGTGTACAGAAGGTAATCACTTTAGAAACAGTCAGCCTGTAGTAAGGAGGAGAAAAGAGCCACAGCTCCCAGAACCCGGCAGAGCAAATCCGCCTTCTCCGTCTGCAGGCCCGCAGAGCCGGGCTGAGCTGCCCGGGCAGCCTCACGGGCGGCGCCACGTGGAGTGTAGGAGAGGAAAGCCCAGGTCCCGCCCCTGCTTCCTGGGCAGGGAGAGGCTTTACATCAAGCGGGAAGGTTTCAGTATTACGAGGACTGGGACACTCTTCTGTCTTCAGCAGTGAGAGCCGCCGGTATGAACGAAAGGGCCTGAACTGGTCAGGGTTCTCCAATGAAATGGACCAGCAGGGTGTGCTGCGCTAAGTTGCTGAGTCATGTCCAACTCTTTGTGACCCCGTGGACTGTAGCCCGCCGGGCTCCTCTGTCCATGGGATTCTCCAGACAAGGATAATGGAGGGGGTTGCCATGCCCTCCTCCAGGGGATCTTCCCAACTCAGAGATCAAACCCACGTCTCTTAGACAGACAGACAGGCTGAGCGAGAAAGGAAAGACGTTTATTCTAAGGACCTGACTCACACGGTGGGGGGTTGGGGGGGGGCTGGCAGGTCTGAGATGTGCCTCAGCTGTGTAGCCACTTCCCTCTGACCTGCCGATCAGCCCTGGAGGGACCCAGCCTGTGCTGGGAGGTGGAGGGGGGTCAGGGCAGCCGGCCCTGCTCCCCAGGACTGAGAACCAGTCCCGCTTTATTCTGATGGCCTTCTTAAACAGAGGCAGAGAGGAAGGAATGCGATGGTTAATGTTCTCTCTGAACTGTGGTCCACCATACTGCTTCTTTAGACAGAGTTCTGGTCCTCAAAGGTTGGGAGAGGACCTTGATGTTCTACTCGGATTCAGCTGTCATTTGGACAAGATGGCCACAGGCCACATGTGTTACTGCCTGAGCTGCGTCCACGGCTTGGCACAGAGCATTTCAGAGTCAGGAAAAGGGTCCAGCCTGGGTTTGCTGACCACAGTGGACTGATTTGCAAAGCAATGTTGAGGACACTTGAGTCTCTATTTAAGATAAGTGCGAATTTTCTACAGGTGCAGAGAAAGGTATAAATAGTGTGTTAAAATGTCCATAAAATAATCCAGTGGGCTCTTCACTGTCTGGGATTGGCTTATATCTCAAGTCTAATTACTACGATTGTTTAAACACTCAATGGATATTTTGATCTGGTTCTCCGGCTGTTATGGGTGGCCCCACAAAGGAATGCTCTGGCTTCCGAGGCTGTTCAGTCGGCTAGAGCTGCTGTGAGGAAGGCCGTGACTGGGCAGCTGAAATAACAGAAACTTCGCTCCTCTCAGTTCTAGAGGCTGGAAGCCCGAGATCAATGTGTCGGCAGAGTGGTTTCTTCCAAGACATGTCTCCCAGCCTTGCAGATGGCTGGCATCTCCCCGTGTCCCAGGCGGGCGTCCCTCTGGGTGCTCTGGGCCCTGGTCTCTCCTGATATGTGACTCGGGCAGCCACGTGGCCTCATTTGACGTAATCGCCTCTGTGAAGGCCACATGTCCCCCGTAATCGTCTCTGTGAAGACCACGTGTCCCCAATGGTCAACTTCTAAGGCGCCAGCAGCTAGAGCTTCAGTCTCTGAGGGAGCGTGATTCAGCCCGCAACAGTTCGTGTTTATCAGTGATGTTAGCATAGATGGAATCATAGTCTATGTTTCCTTCTGAAACTTTTTAATTTTTGAGATTTATTCCAGTCAATTATGTAGCTCTATTCCATTCTTTTTGAGTGCTATGTAGTATTTCACAATATGAAAAATATCAGCTTGTTTTTCCCTTCCCTTACCAAGAAGCCAAGTTAGATGACTTCTATATGTTTGTTCTTTAAAGCGGAGCTCAATGTCTCATGAACATATGCTAGAATTTTTGTCCCTAGTCTAGATACATAACAGCGAAATTGTTGACCACAAGATATGTGCATTTTCAGATTAACTGGTATTGAGATGTCCTCTCCACAGTGGTTCATTCATTTATTTCCCCTCTGACAGCCCATCAGACCTCCTGTTTCTCAAAATATGCACCAACTGCCATTGGATACAATTTTCTACCCTCCTGCTGTTTGTAGGAGCAAAGAAATTCTAGTTCTAGATATATACCCAGGGACTCACACACACACATGCATGCGTGTTTGTGTACATGCATGATCACGCACGTACACACGCGTTCACAGCAGCACTGCTCACAATTCCCAATAGCTGGCAACAGCCGGAGTGTCGGTCCACAGAGGAATGGATAAGCAGACTGCGGGTGTACAAACGATGCAATCAGGTCCTGACACACGCTGCAATGTGGACAAAGCCACACAAAAAGCCACACATTGTCTTGTCAACCTTAGAGCAAAGAGCAATTCTGTGTGAGCAAAAATGAGTTTGTTTGGGGAGAGGAGGGAACTGCCGTTGGAGACAAGCGGGCCGTATTTTAGGGGGAAACTGGTGAGGGTCATTTTGAACCAGTTTATTGGAGAAGAGCTGGAGTTTCTCACCGGCTGCAAGCCCTGCCACCGTCCTTCTTTTCTTAAAGCCAGAGGTGACATCCCCAGGTGAAAAGTGTCCTCCGTCATTAAAATGTAAGTCTCAACGCCCGTCTTCCCGCTGGTGACGCAAGGCTGGAGCGAGGGAGAGCGCCCCTGCAGGGCCCCACGTGAAGTGAGCCTTGCTTTCTGTGTTTCTGCAGTTTGACTCCGCTGATGAGAAGCTTCCAGAGGGGACATACACAGAGGCAGGGCGTAGACTGCAATTGCCAGAACCCGAGCCAGGCTGGGGCTGGGGGAGAGCGGGAGTGGCTGCCTAAGGCGTATGGGGTTTTCTTTCAAAGCAATGAACGCGTTTTGCAATTGGTTAGTGGTGACGGTTACAGAACGCTGTGCGTGCTAAATTGCTCAGTGGCGTCAGACTCTTGTGACCCCGTGGACCGCTGCCCACAAGGCTGCTCTGTCCATGCGACTTTCCCGGCAAGCACACTGGGGCGGGTTGCCATGCCCTCATCCAGGGGGTCTTCCTGACCCTGGGATTGCAGGCGGTTCTTTACCACTGGGCCGCCCTACACAACACCGTGGGCGCACTAAATACCGCCGAATTAGACGTTCTAAATGCTTAATGCCCTGCTGTGTGCACCCTCCCCAGTGGGGGTCCGCCCCTGGCCCCCTCTTTTAGACCCTGGGGGTTCTCCGCTCCTTCCTTCCTCCTCACAGTTCATTTATTCACTGGGCCGCCTTTCTGTCTCCCCCTGCCCTCTGAGCGCTCAGGGTGAGACAGCCCTCAGGCGCCTTTATCTGCCGCTCCGTTGGGGGAGACGTGCTCTGAGCAGCTCTCCTCCCAGTTATCACGGCCCGGCCCGGCCCCGGGGCGGGGGAGAAGGAGCGGTGACCCGCCAGGAGGAGGAGGGGCGCCCGTTCCGAGCAGGCGTGGCCTGCCCTGGGACCCGCCACACAGGCCCTGGCTCGGTTTTTCTGGAAAGGACACGGGGCGCAGCCCCGAAGCCAGCAAGCGGCCGCGGGGGGCGGGCTCCTCCGCTGACGGCTGAGGCCGGGACGCCCCTGTGACGCGCTGTGCTCTGCCTGGCCGCTCAGCCCCGTCCGGCTCCGTGCGGCCCCCTGGACTGCAGCCCGCCGGGCTCCTCCGTCCACGGGACTCTCCAGGCAAGGTGCCGGAGCGGGCTGCCACGCCCTCCTCCAGCGGGTCTTCCGACCCAGGGATCCAGCCTGGGTCTCCTGGATTCCAGGCGGATTCTTTACTGTGTGACCGCACCAGGGAAGCATCAACCCGTTGGAGTCCACAAAAAGCCAGACAGTCCACGGACCTCTGGAGCTTTGGGCCCTCAGGAGGGTCTGGAAGGGGAGGCTCTGGAGAACAAGCGCGCCTCCCTCCAGTCGGTCCCGCGTGAAGGCAGCGCCTTACCCCGGGGGCGCATCGGCGAGGCCCCGGGGCGGGCTGTCGGGCCGCGCGTCCGGGGCGGGGCGCGGGGGGCGGGCTCGCGCAGGCTGCAGCCTCTGCTGCCCCCTGGCGGACGATGCGGGTTGGGCGGGGAAGCCGCCGCGACGACCGCGGGCCGCGGGCCGGAGGGCCGACTCACCGACCACCTGCCGCCGCCCCGCCGCAGGGCCGTGGGAGGCGGCGGCGGGGGTGGGCGTCCACGCCGCCACCATCCGCAGACGTTTATGACTCAGTACGGCAGAGGGTCTGCTGGATAAGCCCAACCGCGTCAGGGCGCTGTTTTGGTCCTCTCTAAGTGCTGCGGAATGGCAGCCCTTACACTGATCTCTGGCCTCTGTTTGAGGCGGCGGCCCCGGGCGGCGTCCAGTGTGGTCTTCGGGTCGAGCCGGACAGTCCTGGGAGCCAGCGTCTCTGCCGCCCTCTGCCGTCTCTGCCCTGCTCCCTCACCCTCGCGAGCTGGCAGGTGGAGTGAAGGGCCCTTGAACGCGAAAGAAAGCGAACTCGCTCAGTCCTGTCTGACTCTCTGCGACCCCACGCACTGTGGCCCACCAGGCTCCTCCGTCCACGGGATTCTCCAGGCAAGACCACTGGAGTGGGTTGCCATTTCCTCCTCCAGGGGATCTTCCCACCCAGGGATTGAACCCAGGCCTCCCGCATTGCAGGCAGACGCTTTACCCTCTGAGCCACCAGGGGAGTCCTAAACTCCAGTCAAGCCCCTGGAGGTCGGCTCCTGGGGGTCACAGACGCACAGGCCGGTGCTCTCCGGGCAGCGTGGGGGTCACAGACGCACAGGCCGGTGCTCTCAGAGCAGCGTGGGGGTCACAGACGCACAGGCCGGTGCTCTCCGGGCAGCGTGGGGATCACAGACGCACAGGCCGGTGCTCTCCGGGCAGCGTGGGGGTCACAGACGCACAGGCCGGTGCTCTCAGAGCAGCGTGGGGGTCACAGACGCACAGGCCGGTGCTCTCAGAGCAGCGTGGGGGTCACAGACGCACAGGCCGGTGCTCTCAGAGCAGCGTGGGGGTCACAGACGCACAGGCCGGTGCTCTCAGAGCAGCGTGGGGGTCACAGACGCACAGGCCGGTGCTCTCAGAGCAGCGTGGGGGTCACAGACGCACAGGCCGGTGCTCTCAGAGCAGCGTGGGGGTCACAGACGCACAGGCCGGTGCTCTCCGGGCAGCGTGGGGGTCACAGACGCACAGGCCGGTGCTCTCAGGGCAGCGTGGGGATCACAGACACACAGGCCGGTGCTCTCAGGGCAGCGTGGGGGTCACAGACGCACAGGCCGGTGCTCTCCGGGCAGCGTGGGGGTCACAGACGCACAGGCCGGTGCTCTCCGGGCAGCGTGGGGATCACAGACGCACAGGCCGGTGCTCTCAGGGCAGCGTGGGGATCACAGACGCACAGGCCGGTGCTCTCAGGGCAGCGTGGGGGTCACAGACGCACAGGCCGGTGCTCTCCGGGCAGCGTGGGGGTCACAGACGCACAGGCCGGTGCTCTCCGGGCAGCGTGGGGGTCACAGACGCACAGGCCGGTGCTCTCAGGGCAGCGTGGGGATCACAGACGCACAGGCCGGTGCTCTCAGGGCAGCGTGGGGGTCACAGACACACAGGCCGGTGCTCTCAGGGCAGCGTGGGGGTCACAGACGCACAGGCCGGTGCTCTCAGGGCAGCGTGGGGGTCACAGACGCACAGGCTGGTGCTCGAGCAGCATGGTCTGTTTTGAGGCTCCTCTTTACTGCAGCGCCGGAGGGACCCTTCCTCTTTCTGCATCATCCCCAAGCTCAACTCTGCTTGAGGCTCCTGCATGCCAGACATCTGACACATACAGCTTGTTTCTCTGGGCTCCCCGAGACCACCTCAGCTCAACTTTGCATACTCAGAAACCCAGGCACAGTGGTTGAGTGCCTTGCCCAGCGCCTGGTGCCTGGAAGCGCACTCTGGCCCGCTGTCCCACAGCCTAGGCGCCCGCCCCCGACAGCTGCTTCTCCTGGAAGGTCAGCAGTGCCGGCTGGGGAGGGGCCAGGCAGGAGCGGGAGCCCCAGCTTTCTCCGAGACCGGCAGCCATCACTTCTGTGCACATCGGTGAATTCAGGACACCAGTGACCCTCCAGGCACACCCTGGCTTTCCAAGAGTCAACCCCGTGCACTAATTTCATTTGGGAATTAAGAGCATATTCAATCAACTGCCTGCCTGTCTAAGTTCGGCATCTAAGGACCGTGCACCGAGCCTTCCAGGAAACAGGGACTCTGGGGATGAGGCCGACCTTCTTACATTATAAAACTGGACTGTCAGCTTACACACTTAAAGCCGGAGGTTGGGAAGACCCGCAAGCATCGAGGGAAGCTTCGCCATCCAGACCGGAAATCCCAACACTGAACACAGAACACGTGGCCCTCGTGTGTGTCCCGTGACACACGGCTGCTCTCTGGGCCTTTATGAAGGTTGTCAAGCCATAGTCTTCCCCAAATGGTCATTGATCCTTGGCTTAGAAAACTCTGGTATTTTATTTCTAATCCACAAAGCATAAAAATATTTGCTTGCCCAGGTTTGTCTGACCAGTTTCCCCTTCACGAAACGCAGCTGGAGTTCAGTCTGCTCGGACGAGGGGTCTTGCACCGTCTCTCCTCTGGTTTGTTCTCCATGGTGGGCTAGCATGATGGTCTTGAAATCACTCAGACACACTGGGATGAGAGCGCGGCGGCGGGGACGTGACGGGATGGGCTGGGGAGGAGGGAGGAGCGGAGAGGGGTCGACTCAGAGGCAGGACTTCCTGTGCCCTCTCTGGCTCCTCCGCACCTGCACCCGGCTCTCCTGCTCCGGTGGAGGTGGGATGGGGAGGGCGCCCTGCGCTGTCCAGCACCCCCAGGACGGGGCCAGAGTAGGAGGACCCGGGGCTTCACTCTGCAGTTGGAAAAGCCCCTGCCCCACATGCCCGCCTTTGGGTCTGGCTGCCCGCGGAGCGGGGGGACCGGCTGGGGGGCAGCGGAGGGAGAGCAGGAGACGACGGGGCTGGTGTGTCTGCAGAATGACGAGCATTGTCACTTCATCCCCAAGTCTTTTTCAGGGAGAGTCCCAGACATTGCCTGGTCCGTGTGTACAGCCCCCAGGCTCCCAGATGGCCGGGTCAGGAGACTCTGCGCGGTGAACCCCGCATGAGAAGGTGCTCCTTTGGGGGCTGGCTGTGGGTTGAGAAAGGTAGTGGGCGAACGCAAGGTGTTGTGGGGTTTTTGGGGCCCCCATTTGTTGTTATTAGGCATTTATTTGTAAATGCACCACTTAGGTGTCATTAGGCCTCCTTTTCAAGTTGCAGAAACCCGCTCAGACTAGCTGAAGTTAAAACTGGCAGTTTATCTCCTCCTGTCATTGAAAAGAGATGGCTTCTGGCAGCTTTGAATCCAACGGTCCTGAAACTGTCAGCAGGACGCTGACTCTGTCTCCCTCTTTGATCCCAGGCCCATTTCCGGGCCAACAAACTCCGGAGTATCTGCAGAGTGGCCCCATGGCTCCCCGGCCTGGACAGGCCTTCCCTGGCCTGGGTTCCGTGCCGGGCACTGCACCAGGCGAATGACGGGGCCTGAGTCACGCCCCTGCCCGTGGTGGGGGATTGCAGTGGTGGGGTCACTTTCACCAGCCTGCGTGGAATCTGCTTCCCACGGGAGGAAAGGGGACATTTGCCGAGGAGGGAGAAACTAGGGGGAGAAAGACCACAGGTGTTTGCCCCTTATGGCCTGTGCGGCGAAGGCTGGGGTAGGAGCTGCAGAAATAAGCAGTAGATCACGTAGAAGGAAGCGTGTTCCTGCTGTTCCACATTCACCGTCCAGCTGGGGGTCGGAGAGCAAGGACAGACGGACGCGGAGCGGGGCTCACGGCCGTGGCCGCACCTGGAGGCGATACGGGCGCTGATGGGCTGGGGTTCCGTCCTCAGAGGCTCTGAGTCACCGGATCTGGGAGTTTGTAAAACTCCATCCACCATGGAGAGGCAGGGACATAAGGGAACTGGAGACCTAGCCGGTACCCGCCCTGTCACCGGTGTGAAGACTCAGCGGCGGTGCAGCTGAACTTGCGGCGCTGGTGGCCGGGAGTTCTCTCGAGGTGTGGCCCCCATGGGGCCCCTTCCTACAGCCTGTTAGGCAGGAGGGGGGCCAAAGTCATGGAGAAGGGGAGTTCGGCCTCTCTGTCTTCTGAGCCTTGAGCTACAGTTATTAGTCAAGGGTGAAAGAGACAAGTTTGCCCACTTTCTCCAGCTCATGTTTTAGAGGATTTGAGCCTCAGAAGAGAGAACAGAGGCAAAATGAGGAATACAGCGGAAAATGACAAGTGTGCCCCCAGGATGCTGTGTGCAGAAGCAGGCAGAACTGTGATTTCTGTTCTCGAGACCCTCAAGTCGTGGTGCTAAGTAAAATCTTCAGGTTATGGTAGTTTCGAGTCTAGACAAGGGGAGGCAGGGAGCTGTGTGCGTCTCCAGGCCGAACCCCTATGGCCGAATGTGATTGGAATTTATTTAGGTGTCTGTTAGGCTATTTACAGATTAGAAGTCTTGCCTGCTGCGGCTGAATGAGCACCGTCTCTGGGACGGAGGGCCTCAAGGTCACCCTAAGACGCTGGCCGGCCCCCAGTGATAACCACAGCTCCTTAGCCGAAGGCTGTGTGTCTGGAGATTAACGAGTGACTTTTCTTTTTTCGGTTACATTTTGAGGTTGGGGATGGGACATCACTTCCTTTGGCTGAATGTAAAAGTTGCACAAAAGTTTGTAAGTTCCCTTCTTTCGGTGTTTATACTGACGGGCTTTCTGAGAGCTAGTGAAACTCCTCAAGTTATTGACAACCATGTGGAGATTCATGTTCAGAAATAAAAAGCCGCCAGCCTTGGTGAGTGTCCGTGTAGCTGTCCGCCCTGAGCAGCGACCGTCAGGACGTCCTGTGACTTAAAGGACTTTTCTCCACTCTCTGCCCCCACAGGACAAGGGTGACCCGCCCTCGCTCGAGACGAAGACAGCTGTGTCGGCCGAGGTAAGTGATACCAGCTCGGCTTGTTTTTCTCCACGCGAATATCACTTACATTTTTAAAAAACGTTCAGCGTGAAGTCTTTTTCGCTTTGGGGGTTGTTTTACGCTGCCCAAAGTCCAGCAGAGACAGTGGTGTGCTTGGAAGAGTGGAAGCCGCCCCCGCCCCCCCGCAGTACGATTTGAATTCTCCGATGTTGCCCAGAGTTGTGTAATAACGTCTTCATACAGCAGGGGTCTGTCTTGCGCGTCACCCTGGGAATGTCACCCAGCTTTCCAGGAAGACAGTTTCATTCTGAATCCAAAGCCACTGGGGAGGTGAGGCGTGTGGCCTCATGCACAGCACTTCTTTGAAATCTTTCTGTGTCTTCACAACGAGCAAATGAGACATCAGAGCTGGGCAGGGCTGCAACGCCTGGCGGCCAGTGCTGTCCACCCGGGGACCAGCGGGCTGGCGGCCGGCCGGCCTCAGGATTCTACTGTGTGCGGAGTTCAGGGTCCGCTGGAAGCTTTTCTAGGAATCTGGCCTAAAATGAATCATTTTGGATGGAGGTAGATTTCTTGTAATATTTTGAGCAGCTGTCTCGTTGAAATACTGACATTAGGGGTAAGGGATGTTATAAGATGGACTTATGGATGTTTTGTGTCTCCCAGCAATAATAACTCAACCTGTGCCCGCGGAACAGGGGCAGCCTTCATTGTCCAGCCTATAGATTCTCCACGGGCTTGGCAGGTACGACAGCCCGACCCCTGTGGGTTCCATACAGGTCACAGAAGCCTGGGTGCGGGTCAGGCTTATTTAATTTACATGAATGCATCAAACCACATCCTGTTCATACTAGACAGAACTGCTCCTGGTTGTCGGCACGTTGGACTCTAAGAGTCCTGCTTCCCTGGCGCTGTCCAGGTGGTGGGCCACCAGAACCCATGCAGTTCGGGAGCTGCTCTGAGAAGTGATGGCTTCTCGGTGACTCACTGTGGGACTGGGGCCCAGGGCCCTGCGGAGTCCCTGTGTCCCAGAATCTGTAATCTTGGAGCAGAGGAAGCTGGGGCCAAGAGTGGCCAGTCCCGCATTTGGTTGCTGACATAAACAATGCTTATCACTGAATACCAGTGTGTTACTTTTCATACATTTGGGGGGTTTCCTCTCTGAATCTCATTGTATTTTTATTAACAGCCCAATCTGAAGAATTTGGTTGGAAAAAAAGTCCTCAATACCATCATCTTGTATGAATTAGATTTCCTTATTAGACATAAAAATTGTGTCAGTAGAATGAAAAGTGAATGATCAATGATCTCTGGCTATATAAAATCTCAAGATGGTCCTAATTATTTCAGCCTGGTGACTAGACAGATGTCTATACCGTTTTGAACTGTCAGTAAACTCAGAAAATGAGATATGTTGTAGTAGCAGGAAATTGGCCTTTCATACTTTCTTCATAACCTTTTCTCAGTCTATTTTATAATCTGTTCAAGAAAAGAATTCCCTGGTGGCTCAGATGGTAAAGAATCTGCCTGCCATGTGGAAAACCCAGCTTTGATCCCCGGGTCAGGAAGATCCTTTGGAGAAGGGAACAGCCACCCACTCCGGTATTCTTGTCTGGAGGGAGAATCCCATGGACAGAGGAGCCTGGTGGGCTACAGTCCACGTGGTCTCAGAGAGTCAGACATGACTGAGCAACTTTCACTTTTCACTTTCAGCTGATGATTCTTAGCAAAACTTTTATTCAGCTTTATAAGGAAGCCCAGGGATTCACGGGAAAGTGCGTGTCTGCTGGAAAATCGAGCTCATTGGTCACACTTTATCGCGCTCCACGTTTAGACCAGCCACACTAAACAGCAGTGGTTCTTCTCGATCGTAGAAATGAACAGAGGCAAAGAAAGGAGCCTGGTGGGTCACAGATGGGGTCCTGGGGTGGGGGGGGTGCAGGGCCCTTTGTGAGCCGTCCCCTCAGCAGCCAGTGGCCAGGCCCACGAGGTGTGACCTGCAAGAGCCGCAGACAGGACCCAAATGCTCTTCAAGGAGGCTGCTTCTATCAGGCCTGGATCTCCTCCAAAGCCGAGGCGCCCGGGGGCCCAGGAGGGGCTTTCTGGGTGGCCAGGGCCCCTCTGGGGTTCTTGGGCCCTGAGTGGGTGAGAACGGTTGGCTGTGTTTTCAGATCCACCCCGGGTATGCTGAGCAGGAATTCCTTCTTATATTGAGGACCGTTGTTTAGTCGCTAAGTCATATTCAGCTGCAACCCCATGGACTGTAGCCCGCCAGCCTCCCCTGTCCATGAAATTCTCCAGGCAAGAATACTGGAGTGGGTTGCCATTCCCTTCTCCAGGGGATCTTCCCAGGGATCATACCCACGTCTCCTGTGGGTTCCTCACCACGGTGCCACCCGGAAAGCCCCACTGAGGACAGAACCCGCAAATCAGCGCTCACACAGCATCCCCTGGGCGCACCCCGAGAGTATGGATAAAGTCCCGGGACAGCCGTGAGTGACGAGTCTGCCTTTCCCTTTCTCTCCCCCTCTCTTTCCACATGTACTTTTGATAAGACTTTTCAAAGCTTTACGTTAGATTGCTACCCCAACTGGGAGCATTGTGGGGGCTCCTGTTTCAAACCCTAAGGCAGACTAAGCTGTCGGGCAGTGAGCAGGTGCCGCTCCTGACTTTGACAGGAAGCCTGATATTTTACCAGCCGGGTCGGAGAGGTGCTAATGGGCATAGAGCCGCCCGTCCTTAACCTGTTTCACCTGATAAACCTACTCGCGGCCTCCAGCTCCACGGCTGATTGAATTTCCCCTTTTTCTATTATGGTTTCACTCTTCACTTGATTTTATAGGAAGCTCTTTATTGATTTAGTTTGGGCCGAGCTGGGTCTTTGTGGCTGCTCACTCGTTTCTCTAGTTACCACGAGGGAACTGCTCTCCAGCTGCAGGACACGGGCTTCTCTGGTCGGGGAGCAGGGCCCTGAGGTGTGTGTGACTCCCGGGTTCTAGGTGTGACTCCCGGGTTCTAGGTGTGCCGGCCTCCTGGGTTCTAGGTGTGACTCCCGGGTTCTAGGTGTGCTGGCCTCCCGGGTTCTAGGTGTGACGGCCCCCTGGGTTCTAGGTGTGACTCCTGGGTTCTAGGTGTGACTCCCGGGGTCTAGGTGTGCCGGCCTCCTGGGTTCTAGGTGTGACTCCTGGGTTCTAGGTGTGACTCCCGGGGTCTAGGTGTGCCGGCCTCCTGGGTTCTAGGTGTGACTCCCGGGTTCTAGGTGTGCCGGCCTCCTGGGTTCTAGGTGTGACTCCCGGGTTCTAGGTGTGCCGGCCTCCTGGGTTCTAGGTGTGCAGGCCTCGGTGGTTGTGGCTCTAGAGCTAGGGCTTAGTTGTCGGAAGACATGTGGTATCTTCTTGGACCAGGAACTGAACCCGTGTCTCCTGCATTGGCAGGATGATTCTAAGAAGCAATTTAAAAAGAAGACATAGGAGGTAAAAATTCCAAAGGGGGGAGAGAATTCTTTGGGCCAGCACTCACCCTTCACGGGACAGAAGGGTGGCTTGTTCAGAGTGGCTTCTGCGCCCTAAAGGGCTGTCTGGGTTCCTTCCCTGGTCTCCCTTCCTGTTTTTTTTCATTGCTTTGGAATGGACTGAATGCCCTTTTCAGACAGTGGCATTGTTCAGTGAGCCCCTGATTCAGAGGAACTTTACAAATAAAGAGACATGACTGCTCCCTCGGGGCCCTGCTCTTGCAGCCGAGGAGCAAGGCCTTCCCGGGGGTCACCGGGCAGGACTTGAGACTGGGCGGCGTCGTGGGGGGCGTGGGGAGAGGAGGCAGACGGTGGAGGGCAAGGCCAGGCGGGCCGAGCACAGACCTCGGCCCGCGCCCCTCCTCCACCGGCAGGACATCACGGGGCGTGGGTGTCGTCTATTTTGTGTTGATTCCTAATAATTTGAGAGACAATCCATTCTTTTGTCAGATACCTCCACATTACGTGAATTAAAGAAGGGGATGACTCACACTTAATCCTCTCAAAAGGAACTTTTCAAAGCGCTGCGGTGTGCGGGAACACTGGTCCGCATTAACCCGTCGCTCTTTTCCGGAGTTCGCGGCAATGGAGAGAGGCCGTGTGACAGGCGGCCCCCAGCGGAGTCATGAAACCCGCTCTCGGCCTGGAGCTTTGAAGCAGGGGCCCGAGCTGGCTTCTCTTCTCTGTCACGCCCTGTATGACTGTGCTTGGATCTGCTCATCCAGGACCAGATGGATCCCCCTGAGGGTTTGAAGCCTTGGAATAAGGGTGATTTTTTTTTTTTTTCTCTTTGACTGTCTTTTTCATCAATCTTTCCTTGCCTCCGCCTTGAACCCTGAGGTCCCTGGTAAAGTATTCACAGAAGTACTTTGCATCTTGTTGATGGTGTTGATAAGGTGAAGGTGACGGGTGTCGTTAACAGGGCGGGGCAGAGGGACTCGCAAGCGGAGATCTGGGTTTTCAGCCTGTTTTCAGGGGCAGAAGTTCTCCCGTGGAGCGGAGCTGCCCCTGCCCGGCTAACTCAGCTCCAGGTTAAGGCTTTTCACTCCTTCCCGCCACGGTGGACGTGTGGACATCTGTGTGGGGCCGGGGTTGTCTCCCCCGCCCACCAGCAGACCTGGGGCAGATAAGGAAGGCAGGCTGGGACTGCAGAGTGGGTGCAGACATCCTCTCGAGGCATCTAGGGTACCCAGGGAAGGTTCCAGAACAGCAGAGGAGATGCCTGCATAAAAGCAGCACAGTGCAACCTCTGCACTCGTCCCCATTCCCTCCGGAACAATCACGAAAGAGTCAAATACGGTCTCGTCTCTGTATTTCTGTAACTGTGGGTCTTTCCCAGTCTGCGTGTAGTGCTTCAGTGGCAACTACTTGGAGGCAAATGTGGAGCTAGGAAAATCCTTTGATCAAGGTCACAACTGTAAGTTTCCTTTTGGGGTATCTGGAGAAAAACTAAGCATTAACCTTAGGGGGAACAGCTGACCCCAAATTTTAGCTTAGCTTACTTCCC